TACAGCAGCCCACCTTTTGTGATATCATGTGGTACCAGTGAGACTCTGAAGTTGGGTACCGAGTCCTTCTGGTGCCATGGCATCAGACAGTTGTCCTTGCCTTCCGCCCTTACTCTTCTCATCTGCATATTGAGGGTGACAGCAGTCACTAGCACGTGTGGTCGTTCCCGGGCCTAAGTGGTTTATTTTATAGAAGATGCTTACAGCAGGTCCTAGCTCATAGTGAGGGCTGCTTATTATTTCAGCTAGAATTATCTGGATGGATTCACCGAGCCCTTAACTGTGGAATATTGAGAAAGGGACCATCAGGCTTTAACGATTTAAAATCCTCACCAACAGAAGTTGCCATTTTTTTTTCTCCAAACAGTTAAGTAGTTCACGCTTCTGAGGCTCTTCAGTGCGGCCCTGTCTGAAGGCAGCTGATTTGGTCTGGCCTGGGTCTGAGTTCTCTACCAGGAGATAGAATTCAGGTGTGTGTAGTACACATCCCAATGGCAAACACCATAGGGAAACTGGCCATCCAGGAAGGGGCTAACTGCCATCCGATAGCCATGTCCCCAGTGGGTAAACTGAATCATTCATCTCTAGCCAGGCACAGGTAGAAAAGTCTAGCTCAGGCATTTAGCTTCCTCTAACTCTTCCCTCGGTACGTTAGGGGTGAACTCTGTAGGGATCTTTCCCGTTGAGCTCCTTTCAAAAGCGGGGACAGATATAATGAGTGTGATGGGAGAAGGGACCGAGGAACCAGAGAGCTTACCTCAGTGTGGGCTGTGGGGTTGGGGGTGCTTGTCCGCTGGTTACCATGTGTCTCTGGAAGCACCCTTCCTTTGCACAGCATGTTACCCTGGGAGGATCAGACTTCAGAGTAGGATCTAGGTTCAAATCTCGCCCCTGGCATTGAGCAAATCATTCCTCTTCTGACTCGCATTTTCCTTGTCGATTAAGCGACCTTCTCCCAGAGCTGTGGTGACCGCACAGCCTCGGCTTCCTGCCGCGTGAGTTCCCGGACCTTTAGGGAAATGCCTTTCAGTTTCGATTGAAAAGTAATTGAAACTTTAAACAAACAAAAATAAAACCCTTATGCCTATGATTCCCTAAGTCAGGGCTGTGTCTTCTCTCCCAGCGAATGACTGTGCCCTGGCCTCTTATCCGGTGCTTGGAAAATCATCCTCTGTACTGTGGGTACTCAGGTACCTTTGCCGGTGGGGGAGGGGTCAACCTGGCAGTTTATATTAATGAGAAGAAGCTGGCTATGGGGGGAGACAAAGGAAAACACAAGGAATAATGAGTATCACAGCCTGTAGATGTCTTTCTATCATTGCCATCTTCAAATGTTTGATGTTAGGACTCCAGCAAACATTTTATTATCGTTTTTATTATTGGTGTTATTATTACTATGATTACACAAACCGGTAAGTGTGAGATTCCATTTTATTTTTTAGTCATTAAATAAATAAATAAATGCTTTAGAAAATTTTAAAGTAAGTTTAGTGAAAACCAAACAAACCAAAAAAAAAAAAAGAACACCTCATGACAGAACTTTCAAGACGTAAATAATTGAGGGCAGAGGTGTCCTACTGACCAGTGAGTGACCTTAGGGCCAACCACAGTGCTTTTCCCTTCCGTCTCAGCTGCCAACTTTTCTTCCGGGTTCTGAATCCTGTCTTGGCCCCCGTTAAGATGTCTCAGATTGTATCAGATGCGAGTGTGGCAAGAGATCAGGGTGGATGGCAGCAGCTGAGATAAGAGAAGGGCTGGGCCACCATCCCTTGGGGCTCAGATCACTCTCCACCTGTGTCTAGATGCTGAGCAGAAGGGACACCAAGGACTAATAAGGAAGATGGGGCTAGGAATGACCGAGGCATTGGTTGAAGTTTGAACCGGGAGGACCACAATGATTTAGCTGTGGCCATGAGCCAAACGTGAATAAAGGGTGCTCTCCACACAGGGCAGGGCAGCGCCGGCTGGGCAGGAGCCCACCTGGCTTTTAGAGTGAGCTTTGCCTTCCTTGTAAATCTGCTCTCAGAATGCTAGAGAAACACATCCGCATAGGCACCACCAAACACAGGAAAGAACAAGTCTGGGTTCACACAAGAGTTCTGTGCACGACAGAGTAAGTGCCTCACTACTTATTACAAACGTCTTTTTTTTTTCTCACATGACCATATATCAGAGTTTAGACATGCTTTCTATTCTTCTGGCATTTTGTTTGTTTGTCCGTTTTTGTTTTACAAGACAGGACTTCTCTGCATAGTCCTGGCTGCCCTGGAACTTCCTCTGTAGACCAGACTGTTCTCAAACTCAGAGATCCACCTGCTTCTGCCTCCTGAGTGCAGCTATTAAAGATATGCGCCACCATGCCCAGCCATCTGTCAGCATTTTTCCTACAATGATATTCATCCTTTTGTGCCCATTTTTGTATAACAGTATGCTGGTACATAGTAGGATTTTAGTAAATATTTAAGTGAATAAATAAATGATCACTCTTCTTCTGAGTAAATTGGGAGCATGAGGACCTTGGGGGAGGGTTGAAGAGGGGAGGGGAGAGGCAGAGAGATGAGCAGAGAAAAATTTAGAGCTCAATAAATTATCAATAAAAAAATTAAAAAATAAAGATTACTCTTTGCTGTACTATAGTTTGATCCATACTTCAAAACAGAAAAAGCATTTCTAGATTTCCCCCATTTCAACATGTTGTTATTCATGTTGGCCTCATTTTCCTTCGTTCACACCTCAGATGTCAGCGGATCCCCTGGAAGCCAGGATTGTCTGTGCATGTGTCTAAGTGTGAATGTGTCTGCGAGTGGAACATTCTTGGTCTAAGAGATGTTGTATCTGGTGATGGGGATTGCACATGTTACCCTCATGCACAGAGCCCCCTGATAACCCACAGAGGTTCTGGAACAGTGGGAAAAGATGATGCAGGAGATAAATGCATTGAGAACCGAGCAGACTCCGGTAAAACCGGTTTTCCATTACGCAGTCTTAGAGCCACACACAGAAACAGCAGCGGGTAGAGAGCCATGGTTTGCCTAACGGAAAGCACAGCCTAGCTTTTGTTACGAACAGGAACCCCGAGACTTGTTGTGTTTCTATTTCGGCTCATGAAACTTGGCAATGCCAGGGGAGGGGTAGCAGAATGTGCAGCAGATGAGAATTGGCAAGGACGGGCTGCAAGCAGGGAAAATACCCTGATCTTTGGTGTCAGCCCTGTTTTGCTGGCGAGCTGGGCTATACACAGAGAGACACCATCAAGGAAGATTCCCCAGGCCCCTGTATTTGCTAACCTGTGTCCAGAAATCTCAGTGAGCTATGCACGCATGGCTATGTGAGGAAATATGACACACGTGGTTTAAAACTCTTTGACTACGGCCAGTCACTATGATGAGGGCCTGGACATTCTCATGTGCTTTAATCGTTTGCTGCTTCTGGAAGATAATTCATAATTTAGTATTGATTATATTTAAGATAGCGTACTTTTTGTCTTTTGGGTTCAACTAGCTGTTTCCAAATCTTTTGCCTCCTGACTTTGTCCACAACCCAATTTATATACAATAACTTAAGTCAAACTTAGCAGTAAGTGGTGGTTGATGTGCGGACTAAGCTATGATTTCCATCCCAGCTGTCAGTCACCGGCTCTGTCCTGTAGGGGAGAGATAAGGCTTCTTTAAGTTTATGTACTCACCAAAGCGTCTCGGTTTTGCACAAAATTCGTTGTGGTACTGTATGATGATTTGAGTTCCACCGGACTCCACTGTGCCCACAGAAGTAATGTAACACCAGTGGTGGGAATTTGTGAAGTATTGAGAGCCTGGGAGGGAAGCGTGGGGTGGCCAGGAAGAGCCTGGAAACACACGGGCGCATCACTCAAGACGGGAGTGGGAGTGGCGGTCTGTAGTGAGAGTCTCTGAGCCTCTGGGACATCTCTGATCTCTTCCCTTCATAACAGAAACGTTTCTCTGGGCTTTGTTTATCTGTTTTTCTCTTTTCTAACCCTCTATCCCATTTTCCTTTATTCTACTGATCTACTAGAGACAAATTGTTCAAACTAAGGGTTATCAGTCTTAAAGACTTATCTAGAGTATACTAAGTAATAAAATTCTTGTCTGAGAAGCATGACAAGAAAATGGATTTCTACACATCAGTCTTCCCTTTGTGTTAGAATATCCTCAGGAAGGTATTAAGGTATCGATCATAATTAGTCGAAGATTTAAAAAAAGGAAAGGATTTAGCGTCATAGGGAACAGAGAGTGGAAAGGACACAGAAGCCTGCTCTTGCTCCGTGTGACCTCCAGGTGGTGCTGTTGACCCAGACATGGAAAGCCCATGCCAGGCTCCGTTTGTAGCTGGATTTTCAGTTTTTCAAAACTATTTTCTGTCTCTACAGATGTGTTCTTTTAAATGGTCAATAAAATTTTATAACCACTATTTGAAAAATCGCAAGATTATTGTGATTTGTGCTTCCCGGGCAAGGATATTTCTTTCTGTCCAGACATTCTCAGTCAGTCGTCCCTTTTCCGTCCTGCCCGTCTCTCCAGCACCCAGGCTCAGCCACAGATACGTGGATTGTTGACGGGACTCATCGGGTATCTTTAGATACTGTTTAAATTTAAAATACACTTCCTAGTTCAGCTGTAGTAACTCAGTTCCATGCACTCTGAATGGACACAACCTATTTTACACCCAAGCCAGCGTGAGATTTGGAGGTGGTCAGGGAGATGCTTGTCACACGTTAGAGATATTTCGAGGTCACTTATGCGGTACACCCCATGGTCTAATCATGTTCTCTAGGAAAGCATTCCTAGATAAACACCCGGAGGAGCTTTTGTTTCCTATTTAGAAAGATTTCGGGCCACCAGCCGTGGAAATGCCCTCCCCAGAAAAGAGCAGGATGAGGCGTTACCATAACGTGGGGGCAAAGTGAGGAATTTTTAAGACCGACTTTAAAGACCATCAACTAATTTTCCTTTTGTGCCCCTCCTGTCTCTCTTCTCCCACAGGGCTTTGTGAACAAACTGGACGAATTCATCCAGTGGCTACATGAAGCCATGGAGACCACAGAGAACTGGACTCCTCCTAAGGCAGAGACGGATAGCCTTCGGCTGTACCTGGAGACACACTTGGTAGGCATGGTGGTGTTGTATATTGCTGTTTCTGTAAAGGACTTAGATGGGATGCTGGTTTGTTTAGGTCCAGTAGCCACTTTAGTTACCAGAAGTCTTTAGAAGCTAACGAGGCCAAGCTTCGGTGGGGTTAAACCACAAGGTGGACATTTGCCAGCATTTCAAGCAGCAAGATGACACCCAAGGCCTCCATATTTCAAATCGATGTTTCAAAGCTCTTTCCAGAAAGGCCCCTGTTTTAAAGTAGCTTAGAAAATCTTATTAGACCTGTGTTCTCCTAAGTGACAATTGAAGATTTCTCTCTTCTTGAAAGGAACAAATGAACAAAAGAGAAAAATTGGATGACCATTCTGAGGTGTTCTAGAATTCTTGTAAAATTAATGAGCCTCTCATTATCAAGAAGGTCTATTTAATCTGTTCTACACTTGGCTATTTTAATAAAATATTTAAAATGATGATCTCCATCAATTCTGCTGCTAGGTGGATTTTTCAGCAGATAATTAATACAACTGTCATCACACCGGGCCCCGTGCTTAGGGAAAACCAGGGAGTAGTCAAGGAAAACATTAGGATGGCTGCGCTTTGGTTTTGCTCAAAGCAGGAATTATAGACCAGGGTACAGTTGATGAACCTCGGGAGGTTTGTGCCGAATGCTTTAAATGGCTGATATCAATTATGAAGGGGTGGGAACCACGTAGCGGAGCGTGATAAAGCGTGGCGAAGAAGCGCGTTGTCATAGGAAACGAAAACTCAGGCTTTAAGGATCTCATCTTTATTCCTTTCACTGATAGAATGAAATTGACAAAGGCAAGGAGCACGAAGCCTTGGGTACCCAACTGTGGGACTGATTTCTGCCCCCTTTACACGCTTGGAATGTGGATTAAGTCAGCATCGTGTAGCGTCCCTTGGACGGCGGCTCATAGGAGAGACTGGAGAAAGACAAAAGGGGGCAAGAAAGGAAGAATTTTAGTTCTCTTAGTGTTGTGTTTGGCAGCATGCTTGATGTCACTGCAAGGAAGACGGCCGCAGGATCCAGTTGCCGCTTGCAGACAGGCTTGTGGGTGATGGCGGATGGCCTGGTGGTGTGGAGAAACGCCAGTGGCCCTACGTGGCTCTCTTGTCCAGGGGTTTTTAAATGCTGCCCTTAGCATTCAGTTCCCCGTAGAATCCAGTTCCCATCTTTTAGAGGGCATTTCATAATCGCAAGATAAAGATATTCAGTGCTTTATGATGTAAATTATATTAATTAGAATGTCAACTTTTCACTGGCATTGTTCTGACAGAAATTCTAATCTGTGTTTAAACAGGACTATATGAACTCTATTTCACATCAAGGGTGCTGTCTTAATTCTCTTGATTTAATATTTTATGGAAAACACACATTCAGCTTTTGAGGTTTCAAAGGGCGCAAGGGCATAAGGGTGCCTTGACTGTGGGTTGCTTATGGAAAGCCAGGTGCGGCGTGCAAGCCGAGGGCCCTGTCCTCTCCAAGCGATGTGCCCTTTGTCGCCAATGCGTCTTCCTGTCTCAGTTAGAGGGCAGAAATTCTTCCTTGACATCCTTGTGCTGGCCTCACCTCGTTCTAGCCCGAAGCTTCATATTGAGCAAGTGATTTGTGTTGTTCTGGCTTATGCAGGTGTTACTAACTTCATGTATCTAATGGAAGAACTAATTTTTGAATATTCTCATTCAATTTAAATTGCCACCTCTGTCTACTGCCTTACTCTATGTAGCCTTAACAACTGCAGACCTTCTTAGCGGTGACTACAGGGAAGCCCAGCCATCCACACCTGCCTCTACACAATGTTCTTAGCCCAACAAAGGGGTCGTTACCCACTTGCTGTGGACCACCACAGGGTCCTTCTTGAGAAATCTCTCTTGTAGAGTGGTCTGTTTCTGTCAAAGGGTTAATACCTTTTGGGGGGTGTTTTTTTCTCTGTGTGATCATTCTGGCTGGAATATAGGTGATATTGGGACAGTTTGCTGAGAAATTCTGGTTTATAGGCCAGTCCACTGAATGCGAAGTCAGTCAGTCAGACCTTACTTCTGATGTTCTGAATTTATGTTCTGATGTCATGTGTGGTCACCTCTTTAGCCTCCTCTGCACGGTTTGCTGTAGAAAGTTCCAGGAGTCACCGAGAGTCACTGGACCATTTCCCAGGCCACTGACCCTAAGACGAGACTCAGTTCCTCTCTGTCCACATTGTCCTCCTGCCCTGGCTGTCTCCTGCACCTTATTGCACTGCCATTATACTGAATTAATACTCTTCTTAGTCTTAAAAGGAGGCAAAAATCTGCCTTTCTGTAAGAACTGTACAAGTGAACCTGGGAATTCCTACCTAGCTCACTCTACACAAACTGTACCTGTTTCCCAATGAGTAAGCAAATGGGTTTTGTGGTGTTACTCGGTGGTAGAGGTCATCAGACAACACTAGTTAAAGCATTTTTCTAGATTCTACCACTCAGTCTTTAGTCCACACGAGCATGAGACCCCAGAGTGACGTTCTTCTCTGGTGGAATATGCTGGAATGGCTGGTGTCTTCCAATATTTACTGTAAAGAAAAACAAAAACCAAAACAACAGTTGTACATTTGTATCTTGATACGTAATTCAATTATTTTCCAAGATTGTAGCCAAGGTGTTTTTTTTTTTCCCCTCCAACACAAATCAATTAAAGTTTCACAAAGCCTTCCTGAGAGAGACACGGGAAGCCTATTTTAGCTGTGGGAAACGGTGAGAAATTGTCATGGTACATCAGCAGTTTTCCATGAGAATTAATCATCTGCTTGCAACCTGGCTGCTTCTTCAAAAATACAGTTCCTATCTTTCTGGAAACTGGCATTTTCAGGAAAATGTCATTTGGGGGTGGAGTGTTATGAGCACTGGCCATTCTCCTCCGCTGAAGCGGTTTTACAAGTAGCGCTGGGGAAATGTATTGTTGGGCAGATTTCCTTCTCGCTGTCTTTCCGTCACTTCTGCCCCCTTCCTGGCCTTTCAAAAACAGCTTTATTGAAGTGTTTGGCCTGCCCTGGATTGCGCATTTTAGAGTATGAGAGTTGAGGAGCTTTGACAATCTGAAAGATACAGACACCGAGCCAAATCATGGTAGCGAGTGCATGCGTCAGCCCACCCATGCATCAGCCCACCCTACCCATGCATCAGCCCACCCATGCGTCAGCCCACCCATGCGTCAGCCCACCCATGCGTCTGCCCACCCATGCATCTGCCCACCCATGCGTCAGCCCACCCATGCGTCAACCCACCCATGCGTCAGCCCACCCATGCGTCAACCCACCCATGCATCAGCCTACCCTACCCATGCATCAGCCCACCCATGCACCTGCCCATCCATGTGTCAGCCCACCCTTCCTCATGCCATTTTGTAATTCCTCCTCCCAGCCCCTCCCCAGACTCCTCCCTAAGCATTTGCTGATTTACTCTATGTCGCTCTCCAATTAGTTTGGACTTGCTCAAATCTCACATGTATAAGACCGACCAGCGTGCTCTCTGCTGGGGCGTGAGCCCGACCTGGGGTCCAGCCTGTCTCTTGATAGATATGTCATCACTGTATCTGTCCGCTGTTCTTTCTGTTTTCTTGGTAATAGTAACTGTCACATGTACATGAAGTTCCTGATGAAGCTGTTCCTCTGCAGTCTTTCAGAGTTTGTATGGCCGGGGAGAAGCCCACTAAATGAAGACACTGCTGCTAACGCTCACATGCCAGGGCACGTGGCTCTGCTCGCATGGGCTTTTCCTTTAAGGAAGTGTGTCTTTAGAGCACAGCGGTCAGGAGTAAGGCAGCAGAGCCGGCCATCTCGGTATGTCCATGTGCTTCTGGGATGGCAACTCTCACCTCCAGAGTCGTTGTCATGCAAGCCGAATTCACCAAACGAGGAGACCACATTGTAGGCATCAGTGCCAGGAAAACAAACTAAGTGTGTATATTATCTGGGAGTTTTTTTTTTTAAGTCCAGACGAGAGTTGCCCTTCCCTCTCCTCTTCCCCATCCCCCTGAATCCACACCTCCTCTGTTTCTGTTCAGAAAGGGGCAGGCCTCCCATGGGTATCACAAATAATGGCATATCAAGTTGCAGTAAGACTTAGCACCATCCCTATGTATTAAGGCTGGGCAGGGCAACTCAGTAGGAGGAATGGGCTCTATCTCTCTGGGAGTCTTAAATCTGTTATAAGATCTATCTTACTATGTAGCCCAGGATATTGGGGAACTCGCCTTGTAGCTCAGGCTGGCCACTAGCTTGCAACCTCCTGCCTTGGTCTCCTGAGAACTGGAATAGCAGCAGGTACCACCACAGTTGCCTTGAGAAGAAACATTCTTAAGTCAATTTGATACATGGGAGCTGTGGACAAAATGAGGGCTGTGGAGCCAAGATTCAAGCTCCTATAGGTCAGGCGCCACAAGGGCCAGGCGGTTGCTTAGGTGCTAGTGTATGGTGAATGAAGTTGGCTTCTCTTGGGGGCTTTCAGTTGAACAGAGGCAACCCCAGGTCAGGTGACATAGCCCTGGCCGGTAAAATTTTTATAGGATAAATGAAGAAGTTCAGCGAAAAGGTTTATCGCGTTCCTAGAGATAATTGGATGGATGCAGTCCTCAAAGGGCTTATATCATCCTGCTGGTTAAAACAAGAGCACAGAGCCTGGGATTTCACAGGAAGGGTAAGGGAGGTTACGGTTAAACCTTAACCTCAGCTGGCATGGGTGAGACCCAGCTTGAGCCTTGCAGGTTGGTGCTGGGCAGGAAGGGAGACTAAATGCTATTTTAAATGGCCAGACTTTCCTCTGGGGCACCGAAGGTTTGGCTGTGCTTCAGAATAGGAGAGGGAGAGGAATCCGTCACAAATCCCGTGGGGGAAAGGCCAGCCTGGCTTCGATGAGCTGAATGAGGTTAACCGAGTGATCATGGCGGAAAATGGGCCCGACTGTAGCATTTGAAATTCTAGCACAGACTAGCCGCTATCATATTTCAAAAGCATGACTTTTTG